TAGGTGAAGAATAGAATTTAATTGAGGGTGGTATTCATCAGTATGTGTGAGAGAGAGAGAGAGAGAGAGAGTTGGAATCTAAGATTTTAGTTTTCACATGTTAAACTCGAGATATTGGTAAAACATCTATGTGGTTCTATTAAGCAAATAGTTGATTGTACAACCCAGTTGTTCAAAGAAGAGTCTGGGATAGAGAGAGAAATCTGGCAGTTGGCAGTATAGAGAAAGTACTTAAAGTCATGTAAGCAGCTGAGATTTCCTAGAGCAGGAAAGTATAAAGATGGAAGAGAAAAGGCCCATGGCTAAACCCAGAGCATTTCAACATTGAGAGGCAAGGAAGGCAAGACTTGCTGTAAAAAGACTGAGAAGGAATAGTCAGTGGGAAGAACCAGGAGGGCAAAGCAGTGTCAACAAAGTGGGCTTGCAGGGCCCATCTCCCTTCTGCAAGGTGCATTGGTGTCCTGTACCGTCCATCTGGCACTTTAAACATGTTGCATTGGGATGCTGCTTCTCTTTGTGTGTGTAGGCTGCTTTCCTCTGTGATGAAATGAGATCTATGGTCTCCAGGGACTGAAGTCATGTCTGCTTCTGGAATTTCCCATACCAGGCCTGACTCTTGACCTTGAGGGGATGCTCCAAAATGCTGTGCCCACTGGAGTCAGGGGGAAAAATGAAGGGGTTGAGAAAAAGGAATCTAGTTTGAAAAAATGAAAATTTAGAAAGCTTGCTTAATCTCTCATTGAAAGTCTCCTTGAGCAGCAGAATGAGATCCATTATCTGACCAGAGGGAAGTTTTTTCCAGAGTAACATCAGAGCACAGGCTGGTTCTCAGTCCAGGACCTTGGAAAAGCCAGACAGGTTAAAGCAAAGACAGTGCAGAATCCAAGAATTCCACTGAAGCAGGGTTCAGATGGGGAGGGTAACTTCGACTAGAAACAACCAAGTCTTTTATTGGAAGCTGAGTGAGAAAGGACAGCGTGTTCTTAGAGCTGGGATGAGCTCATGGTGGAAGCTGGGGTAAAACAAAGAGGAAGGAACCATGGAACCCTGGCTACATGCTGACCCACAGCGGTGGCATTGGTTGATTCTCAAGATTTCCTACAGTAGCGTTTAGCATGAAGTGCTGCTTTGTTAGAAGCCTAGGGTGTGGGAGGGGCTTCCCAAGTGGTACTAGTGGTAAGGAACCTGCCTGCCAATGAAGGAGACTTAAGAGACACAGGTTTTATCCCTGGGTCAGGAAGATACCCTGGAGGAGGGCAATGCAACCTACTCCAGTATTCTTGCTTGGAGAATTCCATGGACAGAGGAGTCTGGCGGACTGTAGGTTTGCAAAGAGTTGTACATGACTGAAGCAACTTAGTAGCAGCAGCAGCAGTAGGGTGTGGGAGAGGTATAGCCCTGAGCTAGAAGGCCAGACTCCTGGTCATTCATTCATTCATATTTGATATGCGATTGCTATATGCCAAGTCCTAGATACAGTAGTACAAAGACAAAAAACATACCTAATTTCATGAAACTCATATTCCAGTGGGGATGGTTTGTGTGTTTGTGAAAACAGTAGAAACAATTAGCAAGATAGTTTCATATTGTGTTAAGCACTATGAAGGAAATCAGGAAATCATGACTTGAAGGAGATCAGACACATTGATATGCTAGAGCTACCAGTATGATCCCTGGATTGCCAGCATGTCACCAATAAGCTCGTTAAAATGCAGAAGCTCAGGAAGCATCCCAGACCTACTGTATCTGAATCTGCATTTTAACAAGACCTCTCTGCTCAATCTTTCTAGGGTTTCTACACATGTTAATGTTTGAGAAGCACTGTGGTAGTACATTTGCAAATGATTCTTTAGGTTGGGTGGTTTTGGAAGGCTTCTCTGTGGGGGTGACATCGGAGCTGAGACCTAGGTAAAGAGAAGCCATCCATACAAAGATCTGTGGACAGAGCATTCCAGGCAGTGGGGAAGGAAAGTCCAAGGAGCTGGATGGTAATCAGCTTTTTATGTTCAAAAACCAAAAAATCGTGGACTCTGTCCTAGTCATGGACTCTTCTCTTCTGACCTTACCCAGTCTAAACCTTACTTCCTCTTAGAGGATTCCCTGACCTCCAAACACCTTTCCCATAGAATCCTATCCCACCCTATCCTAATCCTGTGTGAGAGTGACCTGGTTATTTATCTCCCCAACATGCCTGCCATCTTGGTTCTGAACGGGTGCTCTGTAATTTAGTTTAAAGATTGTTAGAATGGAAACAAGAAACCCAGAAGATAGAAAAGGCAGGTTGTAAACACTGTCACCACAGTTTTGCTTAGGGGCAAGGTCAGTAACTCTTGAAACCCTCTGGCCTTTGCTTGGGGAGGTGGATACCACCTCACAGTTTGTGCCACCAGCCCTTGTACATGTCCTTCCTCTTGACCCTCATTGCTCTGAGATCTGTGTTCAGACTCTCCCTAAATGTTTCCTTTGAGTCAGGGAACTAGGGTCCAACAGAGGGTATGAGCTATTAGAAAGGACATAAAAATGAGTAAACCACAAGGCAACATGCTTGATGGCAATTACATAGTTGAGAAAAAGTGACAGTTGGAGTTCAGAGAGGGACTTGGCCCTACATTCAGGAGGGATTTAGGAAGTTCCACTTGAGCTGGCTCTTAAGAGAGGAAGAAGACATTTTTTTTCAAGTTTAAAGAGGTAGTGGTCACTGGTGGGGTGGGGGAGGGCAGTGATGGTGGTGGAGGGAGGTTGGTTTTGATTGGAAGTGGTGGTGAGTGATGGTGGTGGTGGTGAAAATGATGATGGTGGTAGTGGTGGAGGTGGCTGTGGTGATGGCAGTGGTCATGGTTAGTACAGTATACTCTGGATGGAGACCACAGCATGCCCAGCAGCCTGAGGTCATGAAAGACCTCATTAAGTTCCCAAACCTGGAGATGCTCACTTTGGTAGGGAGGCTGAAGGTAAAATGGATCAGCAGATGGGAGTCAGAGATAAGTGAGGGATCAGGACGGGGCCATGACGGATCCTTGCGTTAAAAGTTGAAGTAGATGATGGATTTGGTTAGCTTTGGTTTGTGGCGAGGGACCTGGCAGCACTGTAGTGAGGGTGAGATCGCCTGTCAAGCTGCCTTTCATTTTTATGATCATCTAAGCCAAGAGGAAGGCTTCAAAGGAGGTATAGAACATGTGCAAACCCACTTCTTAAACCCAGTGTCCTAGAGAAGGAAGGAATGTCCCCCTTTAAGAGGAATATTTGTGCTTATCTACTCAATCAGTCACTAATGCTTTACACATTCAAGATACTTTGATCAAGTGCTTGTTGAGCTCAATGCCTAGGATTTGACGGTCCAAAAGGACAGCAAGCTACCTCCCCAGTCCACCAGGAGACTACAATCTAGTGGATACACATGAGGTGGGGTTGTGGGGAACACACAAGGCTGAAAGTCAGAAGTCCTGTGTGCTGTCTCTGACTTTGCAGACCAGGACTTGTTCACTCACCACTTTCTTCCTGTCCGATGTTCATAGATCTCTGATGGAGAACACACAGATACGGAGAATAGCTCTTGCTCTAAGGAGCAAGGAGTTTACAACCCAGGGAAGAAGCTTCCCTACACTGCTTCCCTCTTCATCTGTATTATTTATGTGTCTGTGCATGGGTGAATGTGGAAGCGTTGACCCGATGATTTTGAAGGTCTTTACAAATTTAATATTTTATGACACAAAGACCCAAGATTTATAGAGAGCACTTGGATTATAAATAAACCCGAGGTTTATGCTAACTTTGCTAGCTGCTCTAAAAATTAATTTCAGATGCTTCCGCTCACCCCTCACATACAGAGTCAGTAATCTAGGGTCCTTGTAAAAGGCTTATGATGGATTTGTGAGGGGCTGTTGGTGGGTGTTCAAACCCAAGTGCAGGTCGTGGGACCGTCCAAGGGAATTTCGGGACCCTAGAGGGTGTGGCTGGGGACGTAGTCATCTAATGAAAGACCCAGTTGTTCTCTCTTCATGCTGGGGAATGTGGTTTGAGTGACTGTGGGAACTTAAACTTTCTGTCTTTCTGTGTAACCGAAATTTCAGCCCCCAAGTGTGTCCAAAGTGACATTCCTGACCGAGCACATGTAGCCTGACTCTCTCCTAATGTCTGTTTTTCTTACTCTCAGAAGAAGAAACGGCCTAAACGATCCTCATGGGCCAACAGTCGAAAAAAATATTTGTTTTGGTTTTGCTGAGCACTTTCCCTATTAAAACGTGAGCGTTTTCAGGGGAAGGGAGATCCCCATTGTGTGGGTTTGATTCATTTACGCCTAACAGATCAATTGTTTGGAGGGGAGACTTTATGTCCCAGAGGCTATAGAAAGCTTTACTGCCCCTTTCCTTTCAAACAGGAAGTTGCCTTTTGCTAAAAGTAAACAAATGTGAACCCGGGAAGGTTTGTTTAGTTTCTGACGCTGACTTCAGAACCTGAGAATGGAGTCTGCTTGGCAAAAATGCCTTCTCTGAGATCTATCTGGGCCAAAATGTTCTCTGCTCGGGACCTGGCCTTTGCGCTCTGGTAAACATCCTCCTCTCACCAGCCCCCAGAAATTCACTGCCAAAGTCCCTTGGGAGCTTTGCTAACTTATCAGGGACATGCTAAAGCTGATGGCAACTTGGAAACCAGTTTTCAGTGGGACGTAGCTTGCTGAAGAGGGGCCACTTTCCGGAAATGGCCTGAGGTTTGGAAATCTCAGAGGATGTGAATACAGTCAATATTCTAGGTATTTACACCACGGGCTAGCCTTTCTGGGTGAAGAAGCTTCTGGAAGAGCAACTGTTTCCACTCAACTAACACGGCGGTGCTAGGCCCTGGATGAAAAAAGTGAAAGTATTAGCCGCTCAGTCCTGTCTGACTCTTTGTGACGCCATAAACGGTAACCCACCAGGCTCCTCTGTCCATGGAATTCTCCTGGCAAGAATACTGGAATGGGTAGCCATTCCCTTCTCCAGGGGATCTTCTCCACCCGGGGATCAAACCCAGGTCTTCTGTATTGCAAGCAGACTCTTTACTGTCTGAGCTACTGGGGAAGCCCTGTACCGGAGTGACTTAATAAACTCTTCACGTAAGCCCCAGGAGAAATGCACTGTGATTATTTGCAGCTCACAGAAGAGAGAAGTAAGGCTTAGAAAAGGTAAGAGAAAACACAGCTAGTCAAATCAGGGAACCCTTGGGTCTTTCTGCCTTCTGCTTTGGAGATGTTAAATAGTTTATGATCAATATCTGAACTCCAGAAAGTTACAAAATATTTTGGGGAAATCAACGTGATTCAGGTAAAGAGTCCTGTGAGACAGTTTGCTATTGCAGGCCAAAGAGCTGAGTAAGTAGTATTTAAAGTTTTTAATAAATATGTTTGACATTGAACCTATCTTGTTCTGGGAGGGGTTTAAATCAGCTGATAAAAGCAAAGGCAATGTCAAAAATAGGGCAATAGGTTAGATAGTGAGTCTGTGATGATTCTCAGAGGAGGGGTATGGTTCACCCTCGAAGAATGAGTGGGAATTAGATAAGGAAGGAACCTTTCAAATTTGGGGACCCAGAATTGACTCTTTCTTTAGGGGACTTAGAGTAGAAGCTACTTTACAAAAACATTATTAGTGTACATGACGGCCTTCTGTACTCTTATATGTTTGAGAGATATTTTACCCACCTAAACATACAAAGAAACATTTGGTCTGTGAAGTGATCTATCACTGAGAGGCAGCGGCAAAGCTAGATGACCAGAAATTCCCCCTCTCCCACCTCCCCATTCCATCAGGAACCAATTCTCCTACATCCTAATGACATCAGGTTTCTCGGGGCTCTGAAAACAGGTTATTGCTTAACTGTGTTTCTTTATGGCATTTACAGACATCAGCATTAATGCTCACCACTGTTCTCAGATGCTAAGTCAGATTTGGCCCATTTCACAGCTGAGAAAGCTGAGACTGAAACAGTTAGAACTTTGCCCAAGGTCATACAAGTTCTTGATGGTGGAATCAGCTAATTGATGGAAAAAAACAGGTCTGATGCCAAAAAAGCCCATGTTCTTTCCATTATACCACATAGCCATCTTAGAACAGAATGAAGACTCCCCTGGTGGTTTTCAGCTAGTATTCTGGACTTGCTTAAAATCCTTATGAGATGTTAACAGCGTTAAGTCCTGTGGTGTATGGGACACCTGAGCACTTCTGCATTTTCTTTTATTCAAGCTAATAGGGACACAGACCTCTGGCTTCCCTCATAGAAACCCCCTTTTGAAGTATCTCTGCTTTCTTCATTCAGAAGAACAGATCAGCATCTCTCATGCAAGGCTTGGCTCCATGCCCATCTCACTTTTGCAATGAGTTTAGCAACATCTGCTTTGCCCATTAAAGTGATTTTTCTCTTCCTGGCCCTGAGCCTGTGTGCTTGCTGCAATTGATTACTAGCAATTTCCTTCCCAAACCAGAGGGTTCAGTGAACTCTAAATTGAATTGTTGCTCATGGGTCTCCTTTGGACCAATGCATACGGCTTACGTGCAAAATGATCAAGCCACTTAGTTCCCGAATCTATAGGCTGACGATTCTGGTTTGACACAGGGGAGGACCTGGTGAGTGACATTTCCCATTTTTGCACACAGTGGCCTGAGGCTGTGGTCATCTCTGGGTTTCTCAATTTCAAACCTAAGGTTGGGGGGAGGGGTGAGGTCACCTTGCTCACAGCAAAGCTCTTGCTGCGTTCACACCCTCCTTTCTTCTTGTCCAGTTGTAGCACCAATGGCCCTGGAAGTAGCTGCCTGGGATGCTCACCCAAGAGACATCTGAGAAAAATTCTCTCTAGCTGTAGAAGCAAAAATAAAGACCTTAGGACAAGGCGCATCATTCTACCCTTCTGAAGACAACTGCGGGTCCCTTTATATGAATCAGTCAGCTTTTCTCCATAAAGCCCCGAAGGAAGTAGAGCCTGTGTATCTGCTCCGCCGCTCCATTGTGTCTTGGGTTGGTAGATCCTGATCATCCTTGAAGATGCATTCTGACTCCCCCAACCTCACCACTTTTCATATGCTTTTTTTTTTTTTTACCACCCATGATGTTTCATTGCATTTATCTGCGTACCTAGGGGCCTTTTACAGGGCTGGGGCCCCATTCTTCAATCACCCTGTATTCCCAATAGCTAACACGGAGAGTTGCATACAGTAGGGAGGGCCTCAGTCTAAGGCTGAAGAGGCTGATGAACTCTGCTTGCTTTGTGAGAAGTTTTTCAATTAGTACTTTGCTCTGAGCTATTCCTGAAATGTCTCTCCTCCCCCACAGCTGCGGTGGCTTTACACAAAGATGCAGAGGAATAGTTGGTTATTTAGAGAAGTGGAACTCAGGAGTCTTCTCCACCACATAGTCCTTGCAAAAATTAGAAGAACCTGTTCAGTTCAGTTCAGTCATTCAATCGTTTCTGACTCTTCTTGACCCCATGGACTGCAGCATGCCAGGCCTTCCTGTCCATCACCAACTCCCAGAGTTTACTCAAACTCATGTCCACTGAGTCGGTGATGCCATCCAACCAGCTCATCCTCTGTTGTCCCCTTCTCTTCCCACCTTCAATCTTTCCCAACAACAGGGTCTTTTCCAATGAGTCAGTTCTTTGCATGAGGTGGCCAGAGTATTGGAGTTTCAGCTTCAGCATCAGTCCTTCCAATGAATATTCAGGACTGATTTCCTTTAGGATGGACTGGTTGGATCTGCCTGCTCTCCAAGGGACTCTCAAGAGTCTTCTCCAACACCACAGTTCAAAAGCATCAGTTCTTCAGTGCTCAGCTTGTTAACCCTTGCTAATCAAATTGCTGCTGTTTATTAGAGCAGTTAAAGCTAGATGTCTAAAATAAGGAAAAGGTAACGTAAATGGCTAAAGCCACTAATACCGACTGTTACTTGAAATCATTGTCATTGCATTTTCCGTTTCTTTGAGAAGACATTCCCCATTTCTACCACAGGAAACCCACCTGTATCATCAAGCACTTCTGAAATGATTGTTTCTATCTTATTCCTGTGGATCTCTTTCACAAATATCTTTGGCATCAAGATATTTGATGCCAAACTATCTAGAGGCTCTTTGTTTTTATTTCTGGAAGAGATCCCATTTATATTATTACCATAATGAGAAGTATTAGAAAGAGCACAGTTTTCCAGAAAGTATGGCTCAGCTTGAAGCTCTGAGACCCATTCCTGGTAACCAAGGAGATTCTGAGCTGAACCTCCAAAGCTTTGAAGGAATCCTAGGGTTTTCAGCTTCTAGAAAGACCTTCGGTGTTTATTAAACCCCTGCACATTGGCAGATGGCCCTGTAGACCTACTGAGGAAATGGACTACAGAACTTCAAGGGAAACTTTGCTAGGTTGCATGTGAAGATAGGTTGTTAGGGAAAGGACAGTTAGCATTTTATTTCCTTTTTTTTTTTTTGGCTTTGAGAATCTAACCGAGGAATGGCTGGGAAAATGTTCCAGCTGCCTCCTCTTGCTCTTTGCAATGCACTTATCAGATGCAGTTCAACCTGGTGCCCCTCCCCGTTCCAGGCCCACAGCAGAGAGGGCGGGGCCTCAGCCCCCCATGCGGGCTGTGCTGAGTCATGCTCTTTCAGTTCTGCTGCCAGTCGCCCCACCAGCTGGGATGTAAAACACACTCTTCCCCTTTCCAGAGTTTCTGGCTCAATTTGAACAAGACTTTTCTAACAGAAACGGATCACCTTAATCCGACTACTCAAGCCTTTGCTTAGTCCAGGGTTTGAGACTGAACAAATCCTTAGGGATAGGAATGTGCCACAATTTATCCAGTGCTAACTGAACCTCCTCAACCATCGGATCACCACCCTTGGCACCCGAATAGCAGTTCATTATCTGAATGCTTATCATGGGCCTGGCACTGTGTAAGCCCTTAACATGCTCGATGTGTTATCCTCATGTAGTTCCATGAAGTGGGGTTTATACAAATGAGGAAATGAAGACTCTGAGAGTTCAACTTTTTTAAGCAGCAAGTATTTAAGAGTATTAGGTGCTATGCTAAGTGCTGGGGATAGAGTGGTAAATGAAAAAACACAGCCCTTCCTTTAGGAAGTTTAGTAAGTAAGTTTAGCTAGTAAGCGCAACATAGCCAAGGCTGGAGTCTTCATAGGCCTGATTTGAAAGCTTGCCTTAAAACCTATGTACGACTCCTCACAGTCTAAAGCTCCCCTTGGGGACACTTCTGAAAACTCAGCATGGCTACTGAGAAAGTAGATCCCGAACTGAGTTTATCCTCCTAACATTACACCACCATGAAGTATAAGCTCACTTGGACAAGGATCGTATCTGTCTTCCTCTGGGCACACAGTTGTCCTGGAATAAGTTTGTGTTGGATGACTGAGGATCAGCACTCACACTTTGGATTTTGGTTTTTCTGCCTGAGAACAGTCCCCCTAGGCTCAGTGAGAGCACATTAAAGCTCACGTGCTCTAACAGGTGACAGAGGAAGTCTTTGAGTCCTTTACGTGTAGTGGGTTTAATTCTTCTTTTCTGTAAATTTTCACACGCCCCCACACTTCCTGCTCTTTCCTAGGCCTGGAAGCGGAAGTATTGAAATACTGAGACAAACTGTTCTTATGGTTTTTAGAGACTGGTTGAAACCAGGAAGGATGGGAAATCAGAAGGCTGGCTCTCTCTGGGTTCTCTTTGGCCAGGAGACAAGAGCTGGGTCTTGGGCCCTTGACCACATTTCTATTCCTCCTTTGAGCTGGTTGAACACAGCAAGATTAGTCAACAACTTGATCTTAGCTTCAGCTTCATTGTTCAATGACAGGTCTATTACCATTCTTTTGATTTCGTTGTTTCATCCGTAAGTGAAAGGAGAGAGGTCTTTAGCAGGAGACAATGCTGATATTGATTTCTTGATTATAGATTTATGAACACACTGACTTATTTATCCAACAAATATTTATGATGTACCTCTTATACATCTCCCATGAAGAGCCCTCATAGAGCTTACCTTCCAATGGAATGTATTTTGTTGTAAACAAAACAAACAAAATATATGTTATGTGAAAAGACAAAATGCTATGGAGGAAACTGAAATAGAAGAAGGGGTTGAGGAGTGTATGGTTGGGGGTCCTGCAGTGTTAAGTTGGGTTATTAGGGGAAAAAGTAATAT